TCTACCTTTTCCATGTTTTACTTGTCTTGGAATGTATCTAAATGATCATTAAAAATTATCAGGTCTTAAATTCCGTATAAAATTATTATAATTTGAGATTTTAGAATATATTTATAAACATTAAAAGACTGATGCGTATCACCAATATGTTTTGCAATCCTGGGGAAAAAAATTCCGATATCGTTTCTTAATATTAGATATAAGAAACTATTTACACAAGCTTCTGAACGCTGTGAAAAATGGAGAGTATGAAGATAGTTGACGTTGTAAGCCTCTTTGTAATCTGTACGATTTGCCTTGGAAATGCCGTGGATGTGCAAAAACTAGTGTTCACAGACGATTTGTGCAAGTGTGAAGGCGAAGGGATTTACGTGACCAGTAGAAACCTGCCTTTGGTTCGCACGAGGTTCCCAAATTCGCGACTTGTGAAACAGAAGGCGCAGATACCAAACCTCCAAGCAGTCTTTGTCGTGGACAACAGTGTGACTGTAGATGTGAAAATTTTCATCTCCCCACCCATGTAAGGATTACATTAAATGGAAAGTCATGACACTGTATTATAAACTTTTTTTGCCATGGATCTAGAGAAATTAAAGATTTCATTAATACAAATAACACTGTCATTTGTAAATTATAGATCAACCAGCTTGATTCTACAAAACAGACTCAAATCCCTGAGGTCACCACTGACACCAGTATTGAACTAAAGTAAGTTTATAAATGTTCACATCAAATTCAGCTTTAACAAATTGATTTATATGTCATAAAACATTTTAAGAGTCACTTTTATAAATGTCATAGAGAAATAAAATTGTAAGGATATAAATTTAGGTTTAATTTATTAGATAATGGCCCATCTTAACAGTGATAATTTCAACCAGGGTTTCAGGCACAGCTGAAGTTGAACTTCAGTATCTCGAATACTGTGGATATGTCGAAGTGATAAGGAAGTCCTCTACCACGTATTTCTTAAGTATTTTACCCTCGGATATCTCGATGTTTTTTTCTTGGTCCCATTGAGCTTGAGATAACGAGGTTTGACTGTATATAGAATTCATTCCAATACAATTGATGTCATCATTGTTTTCAGCTAATGGATGTAAAAAAAAACCCCCAGAAATGTCGAGGGGAAAGGGGAAAACAGCCACAAGGTTTTCACCTGTACAGCTTGCTGTTCTTGTGAAATTATACAAAAAGGACAACATTATTTGTTGTCCCTATGATGGAAAGGCATTCAAGGTTATTGTGCAAGACTATGGGAGAGTGTCACAAATAATTAAGGATAGACCCTCAAGCAAAAAGCAGCAGCTAATTGCAGAAACCCTAAATGTGGACACAATTCAAATCAGAACATGGTTAAACAACCAAAGAGCCAGGAATTTTCCAGCAGGAAATATGTGGATTCTATACCTGATGATCTGGACAGCTTTGTAAATAATTATTAAATATTGAAATTGAACAATGAAACAATTCATTCAATACTCACAACAAAAGAATTAAAATTTTCTTAAGTATTGGTCTTCGTACAACTTAGCTTTAGTTTTTTTTCCCTAATCATTTAGAAAGTCTGTTTATTATCAATATTATTTAAAAAGTACTAGGATTCCATATTTTTTGCTTCTGAATAAGTGTAAGACTTTTTTTGTTGTTGCTTTTTTATCCATAGACTATGCACAACAATAATGCTGTTGATACTGAATTTAACATTTTTTTAAATTTTATTTTTTAAATATATAATTGGTTAGAACCATGTTAAATAATTGTTTATTTTATATCTAGTCATCATCCTTACAAAAATTTGAATAATTATATACAGAGTGATTGATTGATTGTGTGTTGTTTAACGTTCCTCTTGAGAATTTTTCACTCATATGGAGACGCCACCTCTTGCCGGTGGAGAGCTGCAAATTTTGTCCTTTACTCGGCACTTACGGCCATTGAGCAGTGTGGGATCTTTTTCGTACCAGCACCTTACTGCGACATGGGACCTCGGTTTATACGGTCTCATCCGAAGGACCGGTCTCCACGTCCCACAGTGGGATTCGAACCCGCGACGTAAGGATCAACTCCTTACTTCGCGACTCTAGAGCAGACACTCTAACCACTGCGCCACGGGGGCGAATATACAGAGTGCACAACACACATATTTATATATAAATATGCATGGGGCTTTTGTTTATGTGCATTCTTTCTTCTCCATTATGTATTGTTTGGCCCATATGGGTGTATTATGCTATGAAGATCATTATAAGTATCATATTATTAGCCAAAGTAATTATGAATGCAAGTACTCGTGAATATGTTGTGAGAAAGGGAGATTGTCAAAGAGATTTGCTGTTTCTAGATTTTTGCGCTTGATTGTCAATTATTCAGAGGGCCTTTGTAAAAAGTTGATGCAGAATAAATCTTAGATTTTTCCAGCCTACTTGATTTATGGTGTTACAGCTGTGTCACATAGGTGATAAGTTGGAGATCATACTCAGTGGAGGTATTTGACGTTAACAATGTCAGAAGTAAGCAGCAAGATAAAAGTTCTCATTCCATCTTCAGTTAAAAGGCAGACATGCTAGTAAATTAAGTGTCAAAATGGATTACATGAAAGTGTGCCCAGAACCAAACAATCCCTATGATGGAAAGGCATTCAAGGTTATTGTGCAGGACAATATTTATGGGAGAGTGCCACAAATAATTAAGGATATTTTTCATCTTGAAATGATTGGGGAAAATATGTACATCTAATTAATTGCTAGACTGATTTGTAGTAATGTGTTCATATCATTTTCCGTGCACTGTGAATTAAAATTTTTAAAAAATGATATTGACTAGTTCTAAAATACCTTATTGGTGCTTGGTGCATGATATTGCGATACTGCATTCATCACTTGAGAAACATCTTCAGGGGATAGTGTCATTGCCTCCCTTCTTACTAGCTCAAATCCCATGGCACAATATTTAAGCTTACTGTAAACAATTGTTCTTTCAAAGGTTTGAAATTGTAGACAGAGCTGAGAGATCAAGGGTTTTAAAGACGTCTCAAAGGATTCTTCTGCTGAGTAATGTCCACCTGTTGATGCACACCTTTTGGAGACATTTAGTTTTATGTTTGCGCGAATTGTATTACTTGATATTGTATGGAAATTTTTGGACATGCATAAATTCTCTGCAATTTCTTTTTGCATTTTAATCGTTGCAGTGGCCGTCAGGGCTACGAATTTAGCATTTGGAAAGAGGGACCTAAACTTTGAAATTTGTGAATACTGTGGTCGGAAATCGTGCCCCCTGCTCACAACACAATGAGCCTCGTCAACTATAATGTGTGTTATATCCTTGTATTTATTTCGGAGAAATTTACAAATCGATTTTTCCATTATAAATTCTGGGTGTCCAATGATGTAAACAGCATTTCCATCCAAAAATCTTACTTTCTCTTTTTCAGCATCTGTGCTTAATTCTAAAAAAAAAAAAGAGTATTATAAAACGAGCCTAAGAGAGAGAGAGAGAGATATGATATCGTACCTTTCTTCTCAAGATCATTTATTAATTTCCCATCTACTGTTACAGCCTTGTCTCCTAATTTTCCTGATTGTTCCTCTTTGATGGAATTTAATGGTGAAACAATTACAATCTTTGTATCATATATTTTGGGCAGCACCTCGTAAATTAAACTTTTCCCGTAGCCCGTCGGTAAAACAACCAGAGTATCGTTATCCAAAGCACTTTTAATACTCTTTCCTTGTAAAGGCTTCAGAAAAGTTAATGTTGAATATCTTTCACAATTTATTTTTGCCAATGCAATTTTTGTACGCAATGAAAACTCGAGGTATCGATAATCATCCATAATAGGCCTAGCAATTCTGCACTCTGTGATCTGTTTTGGTTTCCCCGAGATATTTAAATTCTACGTCAGCGAGAGTTTTTATCAGCCAATGAGCGCGGCCAGCAGAGGGCTCTTTACATTACTGGTCACCTGTCTGTATATCGCGTATATCAGACAGGCAAGCCAGTATAACTAATATACAAGTTATCCGAATAAATTGAGTATGTCTTGATATAAACTGCTTACATCTCGTTTAAGTCAACTCGTTCTTTCACTGACTCGTAAGACGTTTTGCTTATTCCTTGAGAGGCAGGGGGTTGTAATGTGATCATTAAGGTAAAATTTCATTTAAGGAATAAAATCCATAGTAGAAATAATTAATTAGCCAAGTTAGCTTACCCACATTTATACTTAAATGTTAATACATGTGCTAGTCTTTAAATGTTTAGAAATTAGGTACTTGTGTACATAGGTTATCCATTTATGCATCAAAGAAATTTTTTGCTGTATTTTTTGCACGCTTAAAACACACGATATTTACTAGGAACATCTGTCACATATGACCTGATGATAACAGAGTCTGGGGCCAAGATTAAGAAAAAAGATGAAAAGGGTAATTTTAATTTGATTGAATTTTTAATAATAAATAATCCTTGCAATTTTCAGAGATGAGAGAGAGAGAGAGAAGGAAATAATATTGTGATAGAATTGGATTTACTAAGTTAGAAAGTAACGTTAACTTGGATTGGTCAAGATGGTAGACAGACACCTCGGCCCAACGACACCTCGGCCCGTCACGTTTGACACCTCGGCCCTGTTATGTGTTCAGGGGAAAGGATGCTGGCTGATTGTCCGGAGGGTTCCATCAACAACTTAACGCCATTTGCAATTATTACATAACTGTATTACGCATGCTCAAACTACATCATACATAAAATGATTCGTAATAACATAACATCTCCCTTTTTTTTAAAATAGAGGTGAAGTACATCTATGAAAATATGAAGGGAATATGAGCTAAGGATCATATACAAAACTTAATGATAATAAAGAACAAATACTTTGGTTTACAATCAATTTACAATAAGTTAAGAGTCTTTACAATTACAATGTCTCTGTTTGACTAGAATGTCACTTCATGACTATTTGTCACATAAAATGAATTTACAAATTAACACAATATTCAAAGATTAAGTTTTTCTAAAGGCTTAACAGTTCTCCCTGACCTAGTTACATATGGCATGTTAGACTGTACTGGCTGAGGTTTAGCAAGGTTAGACTGTACTCCTGGTGAGCAAGTAGGTAAAGGTTGGAAAAGACCCGTGTCAAGTTTTCCGGTCTGTTGATTGGGAGCGTTTACCTGAGTAGTGGGTTGTGGAGTGAACAAAGTAAAGTTTGGGGTCTCAGGGTCACACTGTACATTTTCATTTGACTTAACAATGTGTCTACTATTTCTCCTATAAACAGAACCATTGGGTGTTTTTACCAAGTATGACCTTTCATTGTGAGGTTTTAAGACAACTGCTGGAGTCCATGTCTTAGAGTGCAACTGAACTCTAACCTTCTCTCCTGTATCTAATGGAGCAGATAACCTTGACCTTCTATCATAGTACTGTTTTGACTTGACCTTTTCACTCATCATAGAGTGTTTAACATCGAACTGGTCATTAACACGAGGTTTTAACAAGGAGGGGTGTACAGGCAAGTCTGACCTTAACCTTCTGGACATGAGCAACTGTGAAGGTGAGAGGCCCATGTTGAGGGGAGTGGTACGATAAGCAAGGATAGACAGAAACAAATTGTGTCCATCTTTTTTAGATTTGGTCAACATTCTCTTGGCAGTCTGAACAGTTCGTTCAGCAAGTCCATTGGACTGCGGGTACCTTGGGCTAGAAGTTGTGTGGTTAAAATTCCATTGATGAGCAAAGTCCCTAAATTCATGACTAGAGTATTGGGGGCCATTATCGGACACTACCTTCTCAGGAATGCCATGTCTAGAAAACGATTCCTGTAACTTAGTAATAACACTTTGACTTGTTGTGTTTCGAAGCTTGAACACTTAGAAGAAGCGACTATAATAATCTACTACAATGAGAAAATCTTGATCATCCCATGTAAAAAGGTCAGTAGCAACTACTTGCCATGGGTAATCAGGAACATCAGTCATTTTCAAGGGTTCCTTGGGTTTTGAATTGCGGTGTGTGAGACCTGTAGGACAATTAAGTGTCATATCAAGTGCTTGTTGTGATATACCGGGCCAGAACATGGAGTCACGAGCTCGTCTTAAGGTTCTCTCTACCCCTGGATGACCTGTGTGCAGTTTTGTCAACATTTCAGATTGCAATGACCTAGGTATTACAATTCTTTGACCTTTCATGACTAACTGGTCTATAACAGATAATTCATCCCGAATATTCCAAAACTCTCTAACAGAGTATGGGCATTGAGCCAAGTACTCGGGCCAGCCATTCAGGATAATATTTGTTAAGGTCACCACTGAGAGTCTTGAGCAGTTTCATACTTGATTCTGTCAAGACATGCATCACTCATTGGTATAGTGCTAGATATCATGTGAACTTGGGCTTCAAGGTCATCTGATATAGATGGTAAGGTATCAGGTAAGTATTTCCTGGACAAAGTGTCTGCCAAAAGGATTTTCTTACCAGGGACATGTGTAAGGTGAAGGGAGTATCTCTGAAGTTGCAGTATCATACGTTGCAACCTTGCTGGTGTAGAATGAATGGGTTTCTGGATAAAAGATCCCAGAGGTTTGTGATCGGTTTGAACCGTCATCTCCTTACCATAAATATATTGGTGAAAATATCTACAACCAAATACAATTGCGTACATTTCTTTTTCTATCTGGGCATAATTGACTTCACTAGGAGTCAGAGCTTTTGATGCGTAACATATAGGCTTGCCATCCTGCAAATAAAGTAGCACCTAACCCATGCTTTGAAGCATCTACCTGTAGTACTATATCCTTGTTCGGGTCAAAATAAGACAGAACAGGACCTGGAGACCTTGTAAGAATAGCCTTGACATTGTTAAAGGCTTCATCTTGGGCAGCATCCCAAACAAACTCAGACTTTGATGACAATAGCATTCGCATTGGAGCAGTCACCTCTGACAAGCTAGGAGCAAATTTAGACAAATTGGTAATCATGCCCAACACAGTTTCGAGCTCAATGCGATTCCTGGGGGGTTGCATCTCACTAATGGCTTTGACCTTTTTAGGGTCAGGCTTAAGACCTTGTGCCGAGATTATAAGCCCAAAATAATCAACTTCTGTCTGCAGAGCTGTTTACTCTTACGATTTCGCCGTATTTTTTACGGATTTTTAACCCAAAATACGTCTCACGTTTTGAGATTATGAAAATACGGAAATACGTTCGTTTGGAATTAAGCAGTTAATTTTCGATATGATATTCTGAAATATGGCTGAAAGAATGCCGACTCGGCTTAAATCAACAACTATCATTGACAATCAATCGTTATGATCTGGTCGCCTGCGTGGCGCAGTGGTTAGAACGTCTGCTCTAAGAGTTGCGCAGTTAGGACTTACGTCGATTGTTCGAATCCCACTTCAACTTGGAGACCGGTCTTTCAAATCAGACCCTATAAACTGAGGTCATGTTTCGCAGTAGGTGCTGGCACGAAACAGACCCCTCCCTGCTCGATGGCCTTGAGTACTGAGCAGAGGACAAAATTTGCAACTCTCCACGGCAGATGGTGAATTCTTCAGAGAGACATTAAACAATTTATCAATCATCGGATCCTTATGATCTGTCTCAGCTTCACACCCTTTAATCACTATAAAAAAATGATTTCAAGCGCATCGGTGATTTCAAGTTGCCAAAAATGATGTGGTATAAAATGACAAAGTACATGTAATTTAACCATGTTTAAGTGATAAAAAAAAGCAGGTGTTCTCTAATTACGAGGGTTGTTCGGAAAGTTCGTGGACTAGCGCCATAAAATTAAAACCGCTTAAGATATATCAATGAATTTTTTAACGTTTAATAAGCATCATCTTTCTTATTTATATAATAAATTATACACCATTAGTTTTATTTTTTAATAAATTATTGATGTTTTTGAAAGCAATGGTATGTCCAGGCGGCGCAACCTCGAAGATTACGTTTTTTCTACCTAAATCATGTAAATGTAACTTAGAAAAATCTCTTTTTTTATATGAACATTCGTCTTTCAAAAATCCCGTTAATTCACTCATGCGGTATGACATAATTGTACCGTAAAATTTGCAATTTTTACCCCATTCTGTAAGTTCTATGAAATTTTATCGTAAGATTTATATGAAATGTCCAAACAATTATGGGGTTGTAATGACGTCAGAAAGGGGGGGGGTTCTTTTTCCAATATTCTATAAAGTTTTACCCTCTGGAAAAACTGGCATAGACCTAGGAAATATTTAAATGGGCTACTGAAAAATAAAATGCATTCAGAGTACTTGTTTTTAAACGCCGAAAAAGATTAGAGAGACGAGAGATGTAAAAGTGAATGTCGATTTGTAGTAAGGGTGTTCAAAGTTTGTCACGCCGAAAAGTGATGTTGATCATGTGTGATAGATGTTGAACTCCGACAAGCAAATATGCTGTTATAATCAAGTGAGAATCTTTCAGATCTATTTACAATATTATATGCATTGAAATCAGCTGTTTATGACATTGTAAAATCATATAAACAAGACGGGTTTAAATCTTTACTTAACTCCAAGAAACTCATCAAGATAAGTGTATGAGGTAGAGAATGCGGACATTGAAAAACATGACGTCATGAAACTAAATAGCGACAGCGCCGGTTGATCATATCATGTCTTTTTTATTTTATGATAATTTGGTAAATATTCAAGGTATCAAGCTAAAATTTTCAACATTTCTTTAACTTTTGTTGTTTTATGTTCATCAAAAATTTTGTAACCATAGACTACATAGTATTAATTTTATCGCATCAGTCCACGAACTTTTCGAACAACCCTCGTATTTATACGGTAATTCAATGGAAAGCGAAATCTTACTGGCAAATGTTAAATCTCACGGACAAAACTGATCAAAAATACTGAGAGACGACGATAAGGGTAAACAGGTCTGATATACACTCAGCTATTCCCGTATCAATAACATAACAAGATGGATGGAGTAGACGGTCACAATAGGGGAGGTATCTAATATGCTTAGACCTATGTTTTTTTTGTTTTTGTTTTTTACATTAATGTGAAGTTTGACCAGTCAGATGAATTGGCCAGTGATTCTAGAAAAGACGATGACAAGTTAACATTAGCTCTCTTAAACCCTTAGCTTAAAAGGTCTAAATATCAACAATGAATCTGGACATGAAGCATCAAAGAGATTATGCTAATAAATTGACCAAATATTTAAGATAAACAAGTCCGTCTATTTATTAAGATTCTGCTGTTTACAACTGCTGAACTTTATAACATTTAGGTAATTCCCATGGCTATAAACGTCGATCATTTGTCAAATTTATCGCACAGCACAATAATGCTGTAAAATAACACGTTACCGATCGGATTTTGCGGGTTTGTTTGGTATTATTAAAAAGGGTTAAAGAAAATAAGTGCAAAAATTAAATAAGTTTAAGTGTTTACAATTAGATTTTAATGATTGCTTACTTCATTAAAAAAAATGAGCAAAACACTTCTATAGCTAATTTCTTGGTCATTTTATAAAAGCTTAGATAGAAGTGAAGCACCATAACTATATGTTCTCTCATATTTTAAATAATGTATTCTCAATTTGTGTTAGTTGTGAACAAACAATGCACACACTTGCATAAAAAATCCCCACAGAGTTTTCAAGTCATTCTCGTTATTGTTTCAGCAACCCAAGATTTATGGTACACTGATAGGGCGCTAGGTTCAGTTTGGAGAAAATTCAGTAATAAAAAAATAATATGTAGTCTGGGTCATATTACGGGGAGGAGCTATTTCAAATCAATTAAAAATTTTTCTTCGGCGTACAATGTGTTTTTTTAAAACAGCTAGCCCACGTAGGTTGCTGACATATCTATTTATGTGACTCCACTCCAGATTGAATCACAAGCATGTCGCTTCGCTAACAGATTACCTTGCCAAAAAAAAATCGCTGTTTGGATGCGGACAAGGATATAATTTATATTCCAATTCCATATTGAAATAGGAATCTTTTTAAAAACATAGTTGTATTAGTAAGAAACGTCTTTCTCGTCAAAAAGCATTTCAACTGGCTTCTTCCCGTTGAATCCTTGTGGGGGGTTTTATGAGTCCATAAAAAATGCATATCACTGAAACCTGTGAACGATGTGGAATTTAAATTCCGCTCAATAGCGCGTTAGAAATACGTGTGCGTTATGATTGAATGATAGTCCAAAAAATTTACAATTCAAAGCTTACATTTATTTAAAGATGTTTATTCAACTAATTACATTTAATGCTTTTTAAATGCTGAATTAATTCCTGGTAGTTTGATTACGTGTCGTTCTTTGAATATACAGATTATGCCTTTTTAAATGATGCTGGTACATGTCCTTAGAAAAAAAAATTAGTATATACATAAAACAATGTTTTACAGCTGATGAGGGGCAAAAGAACCCTGAAGTTCCTTTTTCGAAGGATTGAAAATATTGTACTCACCGTACAAAAGTTTATCAAAACATTCGACGTCAAGTTCAGCGAGGAAGGGACTAATAGGAGGAGGGTTGAAAAAAAAAACAATATATAGACAATTCCTCAAATACGTCAGAGATGTCTACGGTACGTACTGCAGTGTTCAGTGATTCTCTGACGGAAAAAAAAGAAGAGTTCGAATTTATCCGCTGTTGTTAGGTATTCCGAATAAACAATGCACCTAAAAATTATGTAACTTTTTGTTTATCATATTAAAGTAAAAATGTTAATTTAAAGGTATAATTTTTTTCAGCTGGAAGACGGGGTGACAAGGTCAGTCTGGAAAAACATTCTAGCTTTTGTAACAGGAACAAGAGAAATACCTGTGTTGGGATATGCGATACAGCCAACAATTGTGTTCCAATTGGAAGAGGGGCGGTTTCCAACCGCGACAACATGTATAAATAGACTATTGCTTCCTTCGGAAGTTAACTTTGAAATGTACGATCTGGCATTTGTTAACACCCATTTTGGGTTAAACTAGTCATACATCATGCATGTGTAAAACACGAATCGAAAACATCTTACTTAGGTCAGATTTATCAGCGTCCCGCACAACTATCTCACACTGAAAAAACGTAAAATCTTGACAGATTTAATTCATACAACACTATCACACGAAAGAAATGCTTACCCACCCTTTTCTTAAAATAATAAAGTTGTCATCAACTGATATCTTGAGTGATAAACTTATTGAACGTATTTCCGCTGGCATACTATATAATAGTCCAAACTATTTTAAAATTCTAATTATACCTTTGTCAAAAAAGAATCAATTGATGCAGATTACCAGATTTTACTGCCACCAAGATAATGCTTGTGATATAGAAATCTGGTAATATCATAAGAGAAATTTAATGTCAATGTTATAATAGCTTTCAGTACTATATATATGTTAATGATAAACAGACGTATAAATATTTTATTTAACGTTTTGTTTCTTTGATTATGTAACAATCAGATAATAATTTGAGGTGATCCGTCTCTTACTAGTTGAACATGTACTTTTCTGCTGTAGATATCTAATTAAATCTGTCCGGACTTTATGGGTCAGCAGTGCCCGATCAATGATAAGTCGATGTTTTAATTTCACTCAGCCTCTTTTCCAACAAAATAAAATCAAGGCAAAAGCTGTCCCCTCAGTTGACATTTTGAGGTAATTGGTTTTTATCATTCCTTAATTATATTCAATTTTCATTTCTCGTTTCTCTCTTCGTGTTTTACACATACCCTACATATGCATGTCAGACTGGTTTTAATTAAAATATCGCGTGTTTACCCTTTTGTCGACCAAGCAACAAAAATTGACCCTACGCTAAGGTTTATATTCCTCTTTTCATTGGAATTTTTATTTTATGCCCCCATAATCAAAGAATTCGGGGCATATAGTTTTTGGTCTGTCTGTCCGCAAAAACTATAACCATCCCATATTTATAACTTTGGTTGCGGTTAAGGCTTTCATGTTTCACATGTGTATTCCTTGTGACAAGGCCTTTTTTACGTACCAATAATTTTAACGTCTTGACCTTGGAGTTTGACGTACATAAAAAAAATTAAAATTGGTGTTGATCTACCATACAGGGGCATTAGTGTTTCACAAACACTTCGTATTTCATGTCATATCTGTTTTCATCGGGTTGATTTTATTTTAAATAGCTCATTCAGTCAGCCTTATGATGAGTGATTTATAGTAATGATAAATTTTAATGATAAAACGTTGCATGTATCTTTTTAAAAAATCCTACCTATCTTTCTGTTGTTAAATGACTGTGTCGAAAAAGGAGAATCAGACTTTTTTTTAAATTATATTACAGATTTTGGTGGAAAACTTGCGCCAAAGGGCCCAAATGACAATGTGGTTGTAATCTCTGCATAATATCATCTTCAACCTCTCATCGAATACATTGTGTTTTTCATCTGTAATATTTTTTTCAAGTTGAAACAATGACCCAGATGTTATAAAGGGGCAATGATTGGGATTAAGAAAAACTAAAATATGAAGCATGAGGAAAACGTGTTAATGTTCAACTATGACAGGCTTCTGAACGTTCATTGTGTTAGATTTTTCAGAGAATTATCTTTTAAAAAAAATTAATGTATTTCTTTAAAAAAAATTGCCAGGGTGCAAAATACTTTCCTGGGACAGGCCCTTTTTTTTTAAGTACAAAAATAACTAATTAGCGTAAACAATTTAAGACCTTATCCTCAAAACATATAGTTCCTTTTAACCTATGAAGAATCTCTCTTGTGACATCTTTTTCGTATAAATATATGGTCTTTATTTCCGAATTATTGTATGCTGTACAAAATGACTGCAATTTGTTCTTTTAATATTTCCGAATTATTTTTTTATTTGTGGTGAAATTTTAAAATAATATTTTTAATACTTTCCTAAATATATTCAAGTTCAGGTTTTTGTGTTCGTTCATGATTGTAATGGTAAGCGACATTATATACTATCACAATGTATTTTTTTTCCAATGCCAATTGCATGTATACAATAATCGTCAATAGTATAAAAAATTTTGTAGAAATGAACTGCTAAAGAGTCCTGTGTTTCTCTAGGTCTATATCATGATGAAAAGAATTCTGTGTTGGAGTATATTCTGACATTCCCGAATTTTTATCAATACACCTTGGAAGAACACGGTGGTTAACATTTTCGTATTCCTATCCTTTTTTCTTCTCTGTACAACATGGGTGTAAAGAGGTGTTGTGCCCTATGGGCCTCTGGTTTGAACAGCGAACAAAATATGAATAAATAAAAATTTTCTCAATTGAGCATGCTGTTTTGTTATTATTATCAGTTTTTATTTTGCATCCCACGGAAATTTAAAAAAAAAAGAAAACAAACAAACACCAGGAAAAAGTTGAAAATAGGATTAATTCATATTATTTGCAACCAGTTCAAAATATTGCTCAAGTGCTTCTTGCCAGGAAGTTGCATCACTCCACACTTTTCGTCCAAACAAAGCATTAGAATAATTGTCAAATTCCAAAGATCCACCTCTAGTTGGAACCTTGCACTGCAGTTTGCTGAAGTTAATATCTTCTTCAGAAACGGGGTGAATGCAATCAGAGAATCCTGTAAATATCAACATACATGTATTTAAATTGCACCTAGTTTTGAAGAGGTAAAGAATTGGGACGGTTTGATACTAAATTAACAAGCACATACCCTATCCGCTTTCACTGTGTTTTAGAATTTCAACTGCATTTTTTTTTTAAATTTTCATTGTGAATGTCGAGGGAAGTGACTTGATAGCATTTTTTTTACCTAATTTATGTGCATTTTTTTCACATTAATGGCAGGGAAAAGCCCTCTTTTAGAAGAGGTTATTTTATGCAAGAACTTCAAGCATTAAGTGTAGTACCCTTTTCCTCTGGCAGTATATAAGTTATATTTACAGTATTTTGTTTCGTTTGTAAGGGATTTATTGTACAGAGAGGCGTGGCCGTCGAGTCGCGCAGCGACGAGACGGCCACGCCTCTCTGTATAATAAATTCCTTACAAACGAAACAAAATATCTATAAATGACTTGTGTCATGGTAATTTGAATATTCATTAAATATTGAAGTAAATTCTATATAAAATCTATTTATAAGTATGCAAAGTTTGTGTTTCTATGTGTTCTTTGAAGCACCAAACTGCACGCGACACAACGCCGTAAGTCCATCCTAAATGCACAATGTCAAACTGCGCCGAAAGTTAGACTAAGATGGAGCTAGATGAGATTGATTTTTTACAAATATGTGAAGTTATTGAAAATGAGGAGTGCGCATTAGAAGGAATAAACGACATGTGTATCGGAGATTTTGATTTCGGATTTCTTTTCGGAGAACAAGAAGAAGTTCTTAAAACTGAGCCACCCTCAGAAACCCCCGAACCACAGGGGAGGTTTGCAAGACCTATAACCGATAAGGAAATAAAGCTTCTCATGGAGGATCAGGAGTGTAAGAATACCAAATCAAACACGAGGTGGGCATTAGGCGTTTGGAGAAAGTGGCGGGAGGAGAGAAATAAACTTTCGTCGAATACCGGTGAGTTTATTCCAGAATTTTCTGCAATGGACGCTACTTGTATGGACTATTGGTTGCAAAGATTTGTCGTTGAGGTTCGCAATCAAAAGGGGAATGAATACACGCCCAAATCGTTATATTATCTTATGTGTGGTTTGCTGCGACATTTGCGTGATATTGAAATATTTGGAATGAACTTTCTTGACCATAATGACAATAGATTTGCACGGACACGTAAAGTACTCGACGCCCGAATGAAAAGCCTCGTAGCCCAGGGGATAGGAACGACTGTGCGACAGGCCGACCCAATACTGCCAGAACAAGAAGATATTCTATGGGAAAAAGGTGTGCTGGGGCAAAATTCCGCCATTTCCTTACAAAACAGTTTTCTTCTATGCCTGTAAAGTGTTTGGGCTTCGTGGATGTGATGAACATCGTCAGCTCATGTGCGAACAGTTCAAACTTGGGTCTGACGCACAGGGGAAATTCATTCAGTTTGTGGGCAGACAGAACAAGACGTACCAGGGAGGACTACGTCAAATGCAACTGAGCAACAAAAACATAAAGCATTACTGTCAGCCAGGTAAGTCATCTGATCAAATAACTTCTACATTAATTTTATATTTACTGTACAAGAATATGTATATTTTTTATGTTTTTTTTTAAATAAACATGTCCATAGATCTATAAATCATAGGTTTAGGGTCAAAGTCACATAGGCGTCCAAACCGGGGGGGGGGGGGAATTAGCCCCCCCCCCCCCCACGGCTTTTTGTTTACAAAGGTAGACATAGTATAGGCATTGAACATTGGGGTGTAGTCTCCAAACTTTTTTTTGTTGGTTGAGCCCCCCCCCCCCCCTCAACAGACACGTAGCAACAAAATGTTCATTGAAAGGCCGTTCCCCCCAGTATAGTCAAAGAAGGGTAAGTGGTAGCATATTGAAAAAAATAATGGTTTTGAAAGAACTTCGATCTTACCCCCCCCCACCCCCCTACGATATAGGATTTTCGGGTTTGGACAATTTAAATTACCCCCCCCCCTTTTCAATTTGTTTCTGACGCCAATGAGTCAAACGTGGTTTTCCGTTATTACATTACTGTTACTCTCTTACAGGGGATCGAAGTCTTTATGGAATTTTCGATTTGTATCTGACAACATTGGGCAACAATGGACTCTTTTACCGAAAGCCTTTACCTGGTCCCGAGATCCGATATGGTACTCAAGCACTTGGAATTAACAAGCTCAAGTCGATGATGAAGGAAATGTGCGCGGCTGGTTGTTTAACAGGCAGCTTTACAAACCTCTCTGGTAAGAGAACCTGCGCAACTCAGATGTACTTGTCCGGAATTGATGAGCAAGATATAATGACTCGTACAGGTCATCGTTCGGAGAAAGTTGTCCGAAAGTACAAGAGATCGTCTGATAAAATACTTGAAACAGTTCCGTATTGGAACCGCCCGCACCAAAGAAGAGCAAAGTTGTGTATAAAAGTGATACATGAAGGTTCTCAGAATTTGATGATTTTCCACACATAGATTTCTCTTGCACTATGATCCATACATGTAAGATAAAATATGTTTTAGTTCATGGTTACTATGGAAACTTGGCCAAAGAAATTTCCCTAGCAACCGACCAATTTTTCCATGTGGCAGGACAAAAAGTCACTTATCTTTTAAGACTTGAAATGAAATGTAAATGTGAATAAAATTATTTCTCTTCACTAGCATAAAGAAGATACACATTTTATGTGTTTTAACAACCCAACACGAAGATATCAGATTTAAAGTTAGTTCTATAATAGACATTGGAAGATATACATGTTTGGCAATTTTTGCTGATTCAGCATTTTTCTTGATTTTGGCAATATTCAAGGTCAAATTAAAATTTGCATCTAAAAATTTCAGCTTTTGCATGTATATCACATAAAAGTAGAGGAAGGAAATCCGAATTCAAACACGTGGGGTTTTTGAAAATTAGTGTCCGTTGCCTAGCAACAATAATGGATGTTTTGATAGATAGATAGTGAATAATTGTGCAGTGTTACACAGAAAAATTGTATAAATCGTTATATTAGAGTACTAGAAATAAATTTTAAAGCGATAAAACATATATCAGACTTCTTAGCAAATTAATGACTATTGTACAGTTACTTATCTCCATGGCAACAGCAAATTCCCCATAGCAACAAGGCTGCAAAGCTTAATTTTGGCAGATATTCATGTACAGTGGTAAGAAATGTTTCAAATTTAGTCCTAAAATTGCAGGTTAGCAAAATTAAAAATGTATTTTGGACCCCATTAAAGTATTTTTGTTATATAAATTTCCCATGGAAACAATTTTGAGAACATAACAACCACTTGATTTCATTGAGTGTTTGAAAGATTCATTCTCTGCAATTAATTTGACCTTCATATATGAGCAGGAGAATACATAGTCACAGGACTTCTTCAAACATTCTATATGTGTTACCAAAGAATATGAAACCATTAACCATGTAACATGGTTACCATGGCAACGTGCCCTAAATTTTGAAAAAAAAATAACATGTAAGAACATGTTCAGAGTCTCATTATTAATGTCTACACCAATTCAGAAAAGTGACAATGACTGTGTGGAAAAGTCAAAAACGTGCTGTCTTGTATGCAAATGGACAATGTAAGGATGATTATAAGGTCATTTTCCGGCCTACGATAAAATCACTTAAAAATTAGATTTTATGCAACTTAAATCATTCTATTTTATGATTCTGATGTTTGTTTTTCGACGTGGATCACCTAAGTCACGTGATTTAGAAATAACAAATGGTGGTCAAGTAATGAAAAATTGAGGGTAGGTCTATAAACATCAGGTTTTTATGCATGCTTCTAAATTTAAATGATCAAAAATTGTTTATTTATGTCGGACATATATCAAATTAAAGTAATGAATACAAAGATTGTTTCATTGAAGGATTAAGATATTTTTTTTTATGACGTGAATTTTGATGCATTCACATTTTCCATATTTTGAATGTAAATCTTTACAAAATGTACACCGTATGATGTTGAAAAATGTTTCATTATCATTTAATTTAAAAATATTATTTCAAGTAAGTTTTATTTGTAATTGTGTATTGTTTTTGTAGATGTGCTACCTATTTTACGCACGAAATGCTCATATAAGAAATATGGTTTCGAAGTCTTACACAGTTGTGTATCAATTGTTGAAAACATTAAAGGACTTTTGTTTGTGATTGAATAAAAATTGAGTTGGTATTAATAAAATAGATTCTAAATTAACAAAAAATAAAGTCTCCATTAACGTAAAGGATTAAAATATTAATGCAAGTACCTGTTGAGTAATTAAATGAGAAGTGAGTATATAAAACTAAGAATAGCTGAAATAAACATATATACTGGTACGTAGAATGAGTTAACATCGTAAGAATTGCTATGATTTCATTTTATTTCGCAAGAATAACAATATATTTAATTAAAAATGCTATCTAAAATATACGATACACAAATGTATATATAAAAGCCAAGTCTCTGCCCCCCTTTTAACGGCACTGTATAAAAACGGAAAATTTTCAACAGCTCCTTTCACTATGCATATCAAAAGTTTTAGCATATCTATGGAATAACATCCCAGGTACAAAATGGGCCCTAAGAATTTGACGCTTACTTTGAACTCCCAAGGGTTCAATTCTCTTCCAAGTGCAGCATATAACGCGGCTAGTGACTGTTCCCATGCTAAGTCTTCTGCGTTAAAAATAAAAGTCACTGGTCTTTTGGATATTACCTTAAAAAAGGAGGTCGTGTCAATAATGAAACCATGCATAAATCAAAACTGTGACACTTCACCTACAGCGGATAATCTCTTTTTTGGATGAAGAATTCTAAAATGGCATAAACCAACATTCAATTATCAATCGCATGTAACCTTTGGGAACTCCTCTCCCCCTTGGCATCTCATTTTTTTTGGGTAGAACTGCTGCTCTTGTAGCTAATAAAGATATGTGTTGCTTCCTGAAATCCAAAAAGATTGAGTCCTCTCAACACCCTGGTGACACAAAAAATTTGGATCTTATATTACTCCTACGGAAAAATATGAGGGTCGTTCTGAAAGGTTGATGCAAGAATTCCCATTATGAATCAATCCCACCAGTAAATCCCTATCTATAAAAGTTACATGTGTACCTATAGAAAAATAAGTTAATAACACAAATAGCAAATGTATCTTCCCACTACAACAAAGATATCTTTTACCACTTCTGATACTAATAAATATGCGGTACTCCTAAGGAATAAATACAAAAATGTAGCATAAATAAACTAAACAATAATAACAAAAATATCATTATTATAATAAGAACTTATATTCATACCTGAGTATGTAAAAAAAAAATAAAAAAAAATAATTCTCTTTATTTCTAATAGACGGTTCAATGAAAGTTGTCTTCACGCGTAATTTCATAACTTCCAGTCTTTCCAGTACTTTGATTTTAGATTTTTGGTAAAACGATATTTTCTGAGTAAAAATGCATGAATTATGTTATTTTTGTTTAATTAATAGAAACATGTACTCTAACTGAAAGTTTAGAATATGAAATAATCTACATAAGCTGATAGCCTTCATTTTCAATCATTAGATTTTCCTGCAAATATTGTAAAAAAAAAATAAGTGAAAAGTTTTTATTTACATGTCATTACCACCTTAAACCAAGTTCATAATCTGGTTGTCACTTTTAATGTTTATAAGAAGATTACATGTAAATTTTGGTGTTGGTTTAAGGTGGTTATGACATGTGTAGGAGTTGCCTAACACACCCACCCTCTTGAATTTTCCCATTACTCTAATGCTAATACGGACTGATAGTCCATTACTTTGTGACCTTATTTCATAACAAATATTATAGCATCATTAACCAATCAACATTTATCATTAAACTGAATCATTAGCCTACTGATTCATGCATTTTTTAAAGGAAAAAAATACTACTTGAAAATTTGAAGTCATTGTAGGCCGCAAAACGGCCTTATAGAGAATGGTCCTTTGGATACCTTTAATTCATATGAGGCAAAGATGTTTTGCTATGTTACATGGTTACCATGGCAATGTGCTCTAAATTTTGAAAAATAACATTTATGAACATGTTCAGAGTCTAATTATTAATGTTTACAGCAACTCAGAAAAGTGGCAATGACTGTGTCCAAAAGTTAAAAAAAACTTGCTGTCTTGTTACATTGGAAACAAAGTATGATAAGCAATAATTTCTGAATATTTCTTTGTTTGGTTAAACATTAAAAAATGAAAGCAATTATGATTTGGATATATAAAGAAAAATAAGAAGATAACTTTGATCGACAAGGGTTGCTTTGGAAATAATATTGAAAAGTAATTTCTAACTAACTCTCTGCAAGTTTTTATCTGTTGATATTTTTTTTAAAATAAGATTCAATTCTAAACAAGTGGAATGCAGATTTATAGGCAATGGTGTGGTCTAAATTTCCTCTTACTCTAAATATAGAGCGTTGCTATGTATTACATGTAATACATGTATTAGTAGTATGGCCGACACATAGGGGTAAGAAACAATGGGGGTATTGTGTAAGAGAACAATGGGGAGAACAATGGAGGGGACAATAGAGACCCCCAATGACCTTGTCCGACTTATGGTCGAGTGCCCTTGAACAATGGTGTACTCCTGAACTAGAAAGCATAGAGTACAACCGAACAATGGGGTATAGAAAAAAGGGAACAATGGAGAGTGGGGAAAACCCAGTGACGTCAATAAGACCAAACAATGTGTTCACAAAGGGTTGTTCACGGATCCCTAACTGGGGATTTTCCATCAGGGATTTCGTTGGTACCCCTTTATGGGTGTTTATTCTCCTTTATACGTATTGATACGAGTAACAATGAGACACGGAATCAAATTATACAGTGAATAAAGAATTTCAATATGAATACGAGAAGTTAAAAAACGGGACGCCTTGGAGATTTAAATATGACCTGTATAGTGGAGATCGTAGTAAATTTGTTCATTCAGCTATGCAACCACTGTCAATGTAATACACAATAAGAGTCAAATGCGGGTTCGGTATTTAAAGAATGAACTCATTCGAGAAGCGTTGACTTTTAAGCAGCGACGGTTTACTTTTACATAAGAAAAATATACAGTCTCTTCTGTTGACAAATAATGTGAGAGTCCCTAATACCACAAAATCACTGTTTTTTTTCTTAACAATTCCATACCTCGATACATAATACATAAAAGTTAAACTGTCAACTGTAAGAGTCAATGCTTCTCGAAAAAGTTCATTACCTGTAAGATACAGGTAAATCGGAATAAACGGATCCAATCAAGCATACAAATAGTGAACTTGTAGTAAATAAATCCAATCATGTGTGTACACATTTAAATGTTTACGTCTGATGTTTTTCAGACCAGGAATTATATTTTTTTTCTATCCATGCAGTCCATTCTCCAAAAAATGACAGAAACAATTCAGAAACATTTCTCATTTTTAATAAAAGGAAAAGAAACAATCAA